CATCCACACATGGGCCAGCACAGGACCACCAGTGTGTCTGCAACTGGCCTTGTGCTGGCCCATGTGTGGGCCACATCTGGTAAACCAGATCTGGGCCACCAAAGGCCGTCATTCTTTGCGGTATGTGGGCCATATGTAAGCACATTGTTTGGGCCAGATCTGGGCCATACCAATTTTGCTATGTGGGAAGTAGAAGCTAAGAACTAAAACACTAGGGAAACTAGAAATGGACAATAACTTGAACCTGGTATTCAATATCATGACACAATCCACTTCGTATTGGCTCTGTCCTGTTTTTGTTTATCGTACATTTAGTATTGTATAGTTATCATTATAGTATTGTATAGTTAGTCATTAGTACCTTTGTATCCGTTAATTTTACTGAAATTTGGCATGTTAGTTATTTGTAATTTCTAGTTTTAGATCTCTTGGAGATATATATTTTATATACTTATGCACCATGGGGAGCTTGGGGCGAAACAGAATTCCGGCACATTGTATACTGTGTATACTGCTGTATACATGTATGTATGTATGTATGTATGTATGTATGTATGTATGTATGTAACAGAAACACTAGGAAAGAAGGCGCACAGAACTAGGAATGATGGAAATCAAAAACAGAAAACTTCATGGTGTGTGAATTAAGAATCTAAGTGTAAGTGTAAGAATTGAACCGAAACAATAATAATCGAAACAGCACAAATAGTGAAAAAGAACATAAACATAATACAGAATAATACCAAAATACAAAATAACTCAACATCCTGGGGCAAAAAGGGCCAGAACCGGGACAAATAAAGGCTAAGAGAAACCCTGAGGGAGGAGGAACTAATATCGCTGAGAACTTAAGAAACAAAGATAACCAGAACCAGGAATAACAATACTCAAAAATATGAATTAACCAACAAACGCAAAACACTGGGTCACAGATCCAGTACCATGGCAGGTGTGGATCAAGAACAGCTGGTGGGTGAAGAAGGTTTTTTATTGCTTGTTTGTTTTGTTTACATTTAAATTCTTTTCTTCTAACATTTTCTTTAAAACTGTAAGACCCAGCACTGGCTTTGGTGATTAATTTTCTCTCTCTAGTCTACAGATTGTTGCTACCACGGCACTGAGGCTGTTAGTGTTGTGATGATGATGTCCTTGTAGTCATTACAGGATGCAAAACCGTTTCCGTGATCTAACTCTACAGAACTAATTCTGATGGTCGAAAGTTGCATCAATTGTCTTTTTTTTTTGGTGTGTAGATATTCTAGTATTCAAATTATTAAACGGTCGAATATTTGACTACTTCAGTGATGTTAGTGTAAATGCGCATGTTTGTGATGTTATAATTAGAACTGAGAATAAATGTCGCTGGGCCAAAGTGAGTTGAGGCTGTGCGCAGTGTTTGGTGGTTACAGAAACGGGAAAAGCAGTTTACGGTGTGACTACCCTCTTTACAATGACCTAAGTAAAGGACTGTTTTCATCCGCCAGTTCCTAAAGGTGGTGGTGGTGGTGATGATGATGATGATGATCTCAGGGGGTGTAGGAGGAAGAGGAGGAGGGATATCACCAGTTTATAACCCCAACATCCGCTGCTTGTCAGCATTGTGATCGCAGAATGCGCCGGGACCAAACGAAGCCGCGTTATGATGACTGACTGCGTGCACAGCTGTAGCCCAGTCACATTCTCTCCATCCAGTTGAATTCTCCGAGCAGAGCTGCGTGAAAGCGAAGCTTTGGCACAACAGCAGTCACAATCTCCCTCTCAGAGCGTTCTCGCTGGCGCGTACTTTGCACCGAGACGTTCCTCCGAGGCTTCTCCTTTCTTTTCTCTGGAGACTGAAACTTAAAGGACTTTCTCGTCGCAGGGCAGAGAACAGGGGGACGCACGGATAGTGTCAGTGCGGTAAATGTAGCAGCGGGCTGTGTGTCTTACTGAGCGGTGCTGTTGGACTAGCCGAGAACGCACCACGGACTAGCCGAGAACGCACCGCGTCCCGTCCCACATCCTCCTTTTTAATTCCCCCCTCCCCGTCCCTCCAAAGGGTGTCCCGAACAAGACCACCATGATTCTGAACGGATTTGCGCTCGTTCTTTACCTCTCAGGTAGGTCCAGTGGTTTAATTATTGTCACAAGAGAGAGAACTCTTCAGGGAAACACCTGAAGACAAACACAGCAGTCTTTGTCTAGATGCTCTTTGTCACCAAAGTGAAATGGAGAAGAGAATGGAGAGTGAAAAGTCATTTCATAGCCTCACATTTTGGTTCGGCGAGCCTCTGTTGTTTTGTTTTAATGATTATTATGGATTTGCATAACTTCGATGCGAAGATTTGGCTTCGCTTGGTCAGTTTCATTGTTTTGAACATCAGCGATGGAAAGACTGTCTGAATATGGATGTGGATGCTGCCCACTACTTAATCCTCAATACTAGTCCGCTTTTATTTTTCTTAAAAAACTCAGTTTTTGGCTTTGTTTCTGTTCTCTTAGCTCAAGCAAGAAATTGGAGTTTCATAGAGGCGTTTTGAAAGGCAAAAAATACCTGATAGTCACAGTAATGACCCGTAAACCCACAGACTGATATACATCAGACTCCTATAAGGATCAAATTAGAATGAAATTTATATATATTATAAGAGATATAGAGGTTCAAATTATAGTGTCATATTCAATGTTATATATGTAAGATTTTAAAGTTGGTCTTTAGTTTTTAGCTTTGGATAGTGTGATTTACTTTTATTGCTTAATTTCAAAATGAAAAAAGCCACAGAAAGCACATAATGAATAATTTAACTACATTTTACACAAATGCAGCAGAAACTATGCGTGTAGGTAAAGTTAAAATCACATGTAGCTAAACAGTAGTTTAGTTTAGGGAAAGCGGAGAAGCCTGCATAGAACAAAGGTGTAAATACACTGCCTGTCTTCACTGGGTAATAGTGCAGAAGAGCTAAACACATTCTATATCATGCTGTTTGTATAGAACTTGGTTGTTGTTTCATCAGATTGTGAAAATGTGAACTGTGAGCCTCCGTGTGAATGAGCCCATATTTGGCTGTTAGCGGGACACGATTTGACCAGTTAATTGCTGTAAGATAACACTAAAGGTGGGAAATTCCTGACATCATCTAGAAGGTAACAGGATGACGAATCAGTTTCAGTTAGACTTTAGAGTTCAGTTGAATTTCACCTCACAGTGTAAAATGCTTTAATTGGCTCTATAAATAAAAACTGCTTCAACGAATGAAGGTCAAATATGCACAAATAATTTGAAGCTTTAGTTTGTGTATCTTTCCAGTCACATTTTAAAATTTCTTAACATTTTTTGCAGGATAGTTGCATTTCTGGCTATATGAGTGGTTTCTATTCATATTGTTGTGTTAGTAATCCATAGTTTTAATAGTTGTTGTTTACATAGTTGTTATATAGTCAATATATATGTCAGAAATGCGCATATGTGTGTGTGCACCCAGATACGTGTGTTTGTGTGCATTTTATTAATAGTAGGAGGGTGTATGTCAGGGCCCACACACACTGCTGGTATTTTTTTTCTTGAAGGCATAAACTGATACGGATACTTTTTTTAAATGAAGCTCTCATCAGGAAATATTTGGAGAATTTTTAACCCCTCGATACTGCAGAACAACAGGGCTTTGTGCTGCTGTAGAATATCTTACATATGTAGGCGGTGCTGGATTACTGCTGTATCAAACGGAAATACTGAATGTTTATAACCTTTTGCACATGGTGTGGACATATGATGATTTTAGTCAACCTCTGTAATGTTATAATCTTTTGTTTTCACAAAATTCATCAGAATATCTTTGTGGAATATTAACCCTGTAAAACTCAACCCATCAAAAAATAGCCTGAAAAATCAGATTTTTTTGGAACTGAGATGTTTATTAACCCTTAAAAACAAAATCCACATTTTTTGTTGCTATATTATGTTGTGTATGATATATTTTTATTATATATTTTTTATATATTTCGTGTATCGCATTTGATACATTTGGTATTTTTGGCAACTTTTATTTAACAACAATGTTAATTTTAGACAAAAAAAAAGAGTTAGTCCATAAAAAGTATTGATCATGCTGATGAAACAGGTCTCAGAAACTCATGTATCAAATATGATACTAAGGGCATTATAGGGTTAAAAACACATTTGAGGAGGGTGTCCTTTCAGATATGAGAAATGTCAAGTTATTTTATTTATATCAATTATAAATAAAATAACTTGTTATTATGTCGAGTTATGTTTTTTTAAATCAGTTTATTGCAGGAAAGATGAGCGAGCAATGGAGTTATATAGAGGAAATATATCTCAGTTGTTTTAGGATGAAGTGATTGGTAGTGTACACGTATATACACTAAATGTTTGAACACACCTTCTCATTTAATGGTTTTTCTTTCCTTTCATGGCATACATTACATTATAGATTCTCACTGAAGGCATCAAAACTGAATGAACAAATATGGGATTATGCAGTAAACATAAAAGTGTGAAATAACTTTTATATTTTAGATTCTTCGTAACAGCCGCTTTGCTTTGATTGCTGCTTTGCACACTCTTTCATTCTCTCCATGAGCTTCATGAGGGTGTCGCCTGAAATGACTTTCCAGCAGTCTCGATGGAGTTCTCAGAGATGCTGAGCACTGGTCGGTACTTTTGCCTTCACTCTGTGATCTATCTCATCCCAAAACTATCTCAGTTGGATTTAAGTCCGGTGACTTTGGAGGTCTGGCCATCTGGCGCAGCACTCCATCACTCCCCTTCTTGGTCAAATAGCCCCTACACAGCCTGGAGGTGTGTTTGTGACTCTTGGACTTCCTTTCCTGGGGCGGTCCTCATGTGAGCCAGGTTCATTATAGCACTTGATGGTGTTTGCGGCTGCACATTCAAAGTTTTAGTAATTTTCCAGACTGACTGACCTTCAGTTCCTAAAGTAACGATGGAGTGTTGTTGTCTTCTTAATAGGGTTGATGCTCCCAATCTCGTTTTTCTCTGCTACATAATTCCATATATCTTGTAGTATTTTCAGTGTTGTAAGGAACAATACATTATTATTATTATTATCATTATTTTATTTAAAAAAAATTAAGGATTTCATTAATTTGCATAGGTTATATTTAAAAATCACAAGATGTAGCACAATCAACATATCACAGATGTTACAGGCCATGGAGAGGAGATGGGTTTTAAGAAGAGGTTTAAAAACCGACAAGACTTGTAAAAAGCTCGATTTAATCAGGGCCATGATCTGACTCTCAACCTGAAGTTCAGCGTCCACTTCAAGCCCACGGTTTGTGACAGTTGGCTTTATGTACTGAGACCCAGATCAACAAATGGGGTCTGACTGTTATCACCACACACCATCAGCTTCTCTCATTAAAATTTAAAACTTAAAAAACATGGTTTAAATAATAATACTTTCACTGGGTAAACTATTTTCAGTCAGTTATGTGTGAGTTTGATCCACACAATTTGTTAACTCCAGTAGGTGACAGTAGACACTTTCCCAAGCAGAGAGCAGAGAGCAGAGAGCAGAGAGCAGCGGCAGCTGGCGCAAAACCTAAAGCAATGTACTTCTGTGGTTCCCCGAAGTAACCTAAAAGAGTCATTATGACTTCAGCACTGTATATAAGACATTTTCACTTCTTGACCGGCTTCTTTTTAACAAGGAAGTGAAGCTGCTACAGGTCACCAGACTTAATTGACAAAAACACCAACTTTACGTTGTAAAACAGGGGAGTTGTTTCTTTACTGCTGCCTCGTTGGGTTGCTTAGTTTGTGTTATAGGACTGAACAAAAACAAAACAAACAGAATTTTTTAAATCATTGATTAGTTTCTTTCCCTCCTTTAGCTGTCACATCACATAGCACCACTATGGAGGGGCAGGCACACAGCCCCCCCCCCCCTCATTAGCAGTTAAAGATTTGACCAGTAGTTGATGTTCAAAACACTTAGCAAGACTTTACTGAACTGTCAAAACACCTCATAAAGGCTCCTTCCATCTCAGATCACCATGAGCTCCCCGAGGTTTGTGACAGTCGACTCTACGCACTGAACAAAGGAACCCAGGTTGACAAACGGGGTCTGAGTGTTATCACCAAACACCCTCATTTCTGACTTTTTCTCATTAAAATTTAAAAAGTTGAGAGCCATCCAGGCCTTTATGTCTTCAAGACACTTGAGCAGCAATCTAGCAGAATATGCTTCATTCTTTTTAAGAAGGACAAAAATCTGAGTTCATGAAAATAATCAAAGGAGTATTTGTAGTCGCCAAGGATACCACAGAGAGTTCAATCTGCTAAGTCGGATCTAAACAACTCCAGGGCTATGCCCTTGATGTTCATGCATTCAATTTTATTTACACAGCGCCAAATCACAACAACAGTCGCCTCAAGGCGCTTTATATTGTAAGGCAGACCCTACAATAATGCATACCGAGAAAAACCCAACAATCATATGACCCCCTATGAGCAGCACTTTGGC